TACTGTGTCTTCATGTAAATCCATTTATTTTGTACAGTGATCAGTGCGCGGCAGATTACTAGTGCTGTGTCCTCAGGTAAATCGATCCAGTAGCATTACAAGGAGATCGGGATATTATATTGATAATTATGGGAGCATTTGAATTCAACCTTACGGTATTCTTACCATCATAAAGATGAATTCAAATATAAATACTCGGGAAGATATTTTGAAATAAAATTCTTCTGAAAAGAGAAGCACTGACCGACTGGTACATGACCTAATGCTTCAATAGGGGAAATAGAATATTGAATTTGGGAATAAGTTGTATACTGGTATAAATTTCAATCGATAGACTAACAAGGCGCCCTATAGGTGTTTACTGGGTTGCCTGTAACACGCACAGAGGTCTAGTGCAGCTGACGAAGTTTGCAATGTTAGCGAAAAGATAATGGAATGTTTCGCAGAAAAGAAATATTTCGTTTAACTCGTCTAAGACCCCTTTGTTAGGCTATAAAATAAACAGTTTTGCGTTATGTATGTCACACTACTTGTGAATTTGATGTTGCACCATGACGCAACAAGATCAAATATCCCAAGTGTTTTCAGTCAGAATCACCGATTAATTTTCTTATCTTTTTACTATCCTTTGCCTATTATGTTATTTATTTTCGTTGTCAGGAAATGCAGAAATTGCACAATAGTACCCAGAAGTCTTCACAGAACCACCCACTAGTCCTTTGAGGGCATATGACAAAGAGATCCAAGTGCACTTGTACTTGTCAGCAAACTTTGCCAGGAAAGATCTACGTTTCGCGGATCGATATTGCTTATATGTCTGATAACAGTTGATCGAACTCATGCAGGTTTATAAGCAACCGAATAGGAATAAATCTTTTTTCACTTAAAAGATTGCATAAGCTTTTTGTTGAAGATTTAAATCTAATAAAAAATGGATTAAAAAAAGAAAAATCTTATGTGGATTTGAACCCACCGAAAGCAATTCAAAAAAAATCGACTCCACTTTGCCATACCCCCGAGACATCCG